GAAATGTCGAGAATTTTCAATAAACAGTGCAATTTCGCGGCATCGATGTTTCTAACGAGGACGAGATGGACGGGGGTGGATACAGTTTTGTTGGCAGAAATTTCGCATCTTTTTAGGCGCGCGGTGTACAAGGGCTGCATCTTTTTAAGCTGCGGACGCGTTTCCGGCGGGACGGTGAAATTATTGCACGTATTACCGCATCCTAACAACACACCGACCGTTCTTTTTGTTCGCCGGACGCGGACGGCGCGAGCGGCGGTGGTTGGAATCGCGAAGAATCGCGGCGCGTGTTTGTTTTTAATCATTCTCGCTGGAGCCTGGCGCAGGAGAGAGCGTAAATCTCATAAATACATAAATACAAAAATGTCAGCCGGGAGCGAATCTGCAGCGGCCGCCGCGGGCGGGCGCGCCTCCCTTTTTAGTCCGCCGTGCGTTTGCTTTAGACTTCTCCGCTTTTTCTCCTCCGAGCAAATCGTGCCGATCGACGCGTTTTCCAAAGCCGAACCGCACGGAGAACGCTAAAGCGCGAGGGGCTCGTCCTGACAAGAAGAACTCCGGTGTCTCGGCGGGCTTATTTGTCTCCAATTTCGGCGAGCGCCGGAGATAATCGACAGCGACGCTGTTAAACACTTTGATGTCTCTCCGTAATGTTGGGAAACACAGGAGCGGTTGATGAAGCGGAAAACTTAAAATTGATGAAAGAATCAAGAGAGAAAGAGAGGAAAACGGAGAGGTCGGTCTCGCGACGGTTTCCACGGGACTCGAATCAAAGGGAATATTTTATTCGGGGGATGTGCGCGCGGTGGTATCCCCGCGAGGAAACGACGCGAGCAAATGTCCTCTCGGGTTTGATTACCCCACGCCGCTTTCAGCTGATGATCACCTTTGGCCGTTCGTAAAACAGTTGGATCGATTACGGGCGCGGGAGATCCACGCTGGTTATCGCGGTGCATCGCGGGAGGATCTTGAGAATAATTACGCGCACACACGTGTAATTATGCAGGGCTACTCTGCTCCGCGGGATTGTGGAAAGTAGACGAATTACACGAGTAACGTCTTACCACGGGAGAAAGAGGGAAGCGAAGTGGCGAATTATTCGCGGCATGGCCTTTATGAAATATTCAAATTACCCCTTGCTCCACGGGCGAGCTTAATTAGCGCGGAGGTAATGTCCCCCGTTCTCGCAGCCGCATCTTTTTTTCATTGGGTTTATCGTTTCAGCGGGGCTTGACTCTGGCGGGTTTTGTTTCGCTAACGCATTCAATTACGTCACGATAAATCATTTAAGTGTCTTGTTACTTTAGAGACTTGAATTATTTCCACCTATCCCAATTTCGGGTCTTGAAGACCGTCAGTTGCACAAATAGAGTCGGTTGTCGGCGAGCCGCGCGGACAAAGGCCTACGCGCCGCGTTTCAAAGTTAATTTGCTCGATATGACGAGTTAATTTGTTTCCGCCTAACATTGGCCGACCGCGATGTCGCGTAACTGCGCATGGGTGCCGTATTGAATGGACTCCCGCATAAATTATTCATCACGACGTTTCATCCAGTTTTAACTCTCCTTTACCCACCCCGATCCGCGCTCTCTCGAGATCTCCCCGCGTATTACTTTGAGTATACGAGGGAACGAGCTTTACGAATTATTCCACGTGACATGTGTGTTATTGCGTTATATATTCCGCAGATATATTGTATTCGCTTTGTACCACGGGCCGCTGTTGGTATTGCTCTCGGTGAAACGTACGCTCGAAGAAAAATCTCGTTGCAAACGCCGAGCAAGTGATTATTATAGAGAAACGAACGACGCGTCTCGCATGAAAATGAAAACCTCGTCTGCTATAAAATGAGAATCGCTCTTCTATCGCGGTTTTTTTTCTATTGAATTTGGAGAATCCGAAACGCCAGAGACGAGAGAGAGAGAGGGAGGGAGAGAGCAATTTAGATAACAACAGGAAATATTATTAACATATCAATAATCGACTCATGAAGATATTCGTTTTGGTAATTAAATAATGCCGCGCGTATCAAATTTACGCGTAATCTAAATATTTATGTACCTAAAATAACATGGGATTTACAGTCCGCGGTCGAATTTAATTGCGTTATCGTCGGCCGTGTAAATGACAGATCGCGAAAAAAATGGCGAGCCGCGGCGCCGCTGCGCAATTTCTCGGAACGAGACCGCGGGCGGCCGCCTCGACGCCGCGCGCGTTACTTGGAGATACGGAAATGCGGAAAAATTGCCGCGCGGCATCCTACTTGGCCGGGATTGGCCTGTCGATCGCGGGGGGCGCGCGAATTACGCGAGAGCGATTTTCTCCCGCGCTCTCGGGAATACCTGCCAATCAGTGTCGCGAATTCTCACACGGCGCGTTATCCTCCGCCCGACTCTTCCAATCGCGGGGTGCATTCGCGCTCCGCGCGCGGCCCGCGCCGCGCCGCGCCGCGCCGCGACCCCGCCGGAGCGTTGCGCGAGCGCGACGTCACATTGGTAATTCCGTGTCAACAATAATTCGGCGTACGATCCGAAAGAGACGCGGGTACGCGCGCGCGGCTCGGTGTGACAGGTCACCCGAGAGCGGACGCGGCGTCCGGGGTCGGCGCGTATTCGCCGCGCGATATACGAATTTCGAAGGGAGGCAGCGCCCAGGAGCACCGAACGCTAAATAATTGCCGAGGCATCAAGCGACCATCGTTTAATTCCGGATTTTCATCCGTATTTTCACTGAATTTCATTAATCCCGAAACCGCGACAGGCGCGCGCGTCTTGATAAAGATGGCTCTTAAAATTTATTTACTTGTTGTTTCATCTTGTCGCCCGGATTTCCGAATCTTCACAGGGGATGGCGGGGTGAATATTTTACGAATGTAGCGAAATTCGACGATGTAAACGGCGCAAAACGTCACGGGGGTAGCAGCCTCTCCCCGTCGAGCGTGGCGCAATTTTCTTTTAATTTCTTTTAATTTCCGGGACCGAGACCTCGTTGATGTCGTTATCTCGGCAGCTCACTTCACAGGGGCTTGACAATCGCCGCATCGGCAGCGGGATTATTAGGCGCGCTCGATTTCGCGTCCCGCGATAATTGTCGACGCGGAGTAAATTTACGCAGTTTCGCGCAAGGTGGAACCGGAAACTGTCAAAGCGATCTTATTTAGGAGCGAGCGATGCCGACGTTTGCGGGAGGCTAAGAACGAACGTCAGAACTTTTTAATTGGCCGTCCTTAATTAGCCGAGTCCCGAGTAATTATACTGTCTCTCGCTCCGTTTCCGTGCGCCAACTCTCGCCCTCTCCCTCAACGTCGCACCCCTTTGCGCCCGCTCCGCGCCGCTCGGTGTTTTCACTCGGGTTCCTTCCGCGGCTCGCGATTAACTATATTTACTCAATTTCATAGCGGATAAACGCGAGCGTATTCTCTAAATAGCCAACCCCATTTGCGCATTATTGTTGAGCGAGAGTCCTACGGGTGTCTGCTTGCCGCTCGAATTAACGTTTCTTACTCCGGAAAGTGTAGACACGCGTTTTAAGAGGATCCCTCAGCCATCTTTTTTACCGACACAGTCAAATGTATAGTTTTTGCGCTTGTCAATCCTCTTTCATCGGCGCTTTTGTGCACAAAATAATACCAGGATAAGTTGCGGACCGCAGAGCAGAACATTTAAATACTTTAAATCAGTTCAGAAGTTAATGAAAAAAGATGTCGGTATTCGAAATTTTCAATTCGTAATTCGTTTTTAGTTCACTTCTGAACTGAGTGTTTTCCCGGCGTTACTTTGTGCATAGAAGCTAATAAAAAGAATTACAGGCGCAAAAACTATATTTGACTGTGTCGGCAAAAAGATGGCTGAAGGAGTTCGCTTGCGGAAGGATCCTTAATGAAGAGTTTCGCCAAAGTACTCGCTAAGGCACCGGCGGAGATCGAGTGCTCGAGTGTTAAAATGCAGCGTAATTCACCGCGTAATCGGGTCGTCAGGATCAATCGCAAAATTCGCGGATACTCGCGGGTGCGTAAAAAAACAAATGCACACCCTTAACATTTTTAAATGATAAGCAAACGACCGGAGAGAAAAATGCGCGATGAGTCCCCTCCTTTGACTGGAATAATTCCATAATCCGTCGAGCTTTTGAGAAAGCAAGAAAGGAAAAGGCATTTCGAGCGAGGGGGGCGCGCACTTTTATTTATCCCGTCGCGGCGTCTACTCCCAGTTTACCAGCGGGTTTCATCGAAATTTCATTTGGCGACTCTAACGGCTCGGAATGGCACACGATCGGCCATTATCGCGCCGCGTGCTCGTCGCGTTTTGTAACGCGTTCCGCATATCGCGCACAGGCTAACACGCGCGGCGCCGTGCATTTATATTTCACGGCGGGCCGCAGACACGTTGGCGTTGCCGAATCGCGTCAATAGACCGGCCCCTTTGACGTTTTAGCGACAGTGCGCGTCATATCGCAATTGCGCCGCGATAGGATCTAACACACGCGGTGGCAGCGGCGGTGGCGCATTGCATATGCACCATCTGATACAAGCGTATCGTCGCCTGGTCCCGGCTCTCCCGCGTGCGCTTTTATATTTTATTTGATTTTTATCTGCCGTCCCTCGCGGCGTATCAGCGCGGAACACGCGCTCTCGATTCGGAAACGTTTTTCCCCGTTTTTCGAACGCGCGCGCGCGCGCGAGGCCCGAGCGGAGGAACTCGCGGGAAAAATGAGCGTTCAGCGCCGCACCGTTGCAAAATAATTTCGTTTATATCCAGAACCTTTTAGGGGAGGTTCTTTTACTCCTCGAAGGCGCCTAAAACGATTGTTTTTTAAATTAAAAAACAAAGGAATTGAGAGGAAAGGCCTCTATCGTGAGATAAGGTTTTCAACGTCCTCTACGGATTGTCCGTCGTTTGAGCCTCTTGCACCGTTGAAGCGGAGACTGCGATTTTGTATCGCGTTACTCCGTTTCCTTCGTTATCCTTACGTGTCTCCTGCACATCTCTCGTCTGTGGTTTCAGAGGGTGGCAGGCAGATAGGGCCTCACGCTTGCACGGTGTGCCAAAACGTCGTCGAGGGAAGCACGAACAGCCGCGCGTTACCGCGTAGCCAAGCGTCGCAGTACGGCCTGCGGGAGGAGCAAGTGCCGCCCGGTGCACGCGTCTGCAACACCTGCCGCTGCAAGGCCGTCCGAGGACGTTACACCGCCTGCCCGCTGCCGGGCTGTCCGAATCTGAGCAGCTCCAAGTCGAGAGTGAAGCGGCTGAGAGCGTTGCCCTCCAAGTGGCTTGACCTGCCGCCGGAGATTCGAGAGCCAATCGCTCAAGAATTCCGTGAGTACTCCACGCAAGTTTTTTTTGTAGAATTTATCCGCGTGCGCGACAAAATCTGGACACCTGATTGTATATAATTATATTATCTGTACCACAGTTTTTATATCGCTGTGTCTTTACGCATGCAAGTTTTACATTTTGTCTGAATTTTTATAGAAATACTTGACGACTGAACCGTTTCTTTCAGAAATACCAAACAGCGCGACGAAATGCTGCTCAGCCTGCTTCAGCCGCATCTCGCGCCGTTTGGCGCCGCACCTCGCCGGCGGTACCGAGGTGTCCGAGGATGGTACCGACGCGTTGTCGCGCCAATGGTCGGACGAGGAACTCGAGCAGCTCCGCAGGGCGCTCCGGGAACACGGCACCAATTGGCCGAAGGTTGCCGAGCAGATACCCGGCAAGACGAATCACCAGTGCAAAAACTATTATTTCAATTACCGAAAGAAGTTGAGTCTTGATCAAGTAGTGGCTGAGTATTACGCGTCGCTAGGTGAAGAACGACGACCGTGTCTGACCGATGAAGAGGAAAGCGGTAGTAGTACTAGCAGCTGCGATGAGCTAACTGTTGTAAGTTTCTCACGAATTATTAAAGATTACTTGGTTTAGAATTGTATTAATCTGAAGTCACGGAGTTCAAAGCGAGAAGTATATACATTTGCGCATGAGAAAATACCACTCTGTTGTTCTTGTAAATTACAAATGGAACTAGCTATTAGTTAGCTGTTAATTATTTTTGGTGCAGTTGTTAATTTACATTCTTCTTTATCAATAGATTGCGTCAAATAAAATGTTGATTTGCGCATCTATTAGCCTTACGCTATTTTCTTTTTCAGGGTCACGATACAAGTGACACAGCTAGCGCAGGAAGTCCTGCTACTACTATGACAGGCGGTAATGCAGCGTCTAGTGGTACTACGGCAACATCCTCGTCATTACCGATGTCTTTCCAACGATCCACCGAACAGAAACTTGGCGAGAAACTCTCAGATATAGCAGTCGTATCTCTCGTGCCACCCGGATCGTCGCATCAGTCTTCCTCCAGTAGCGGAACAGCCACTGCTACATCTGGTGGTAGGGAAGATTATGACAGCTCCGCCACGGTAAGATAAAGCTCTTGAGCTGAACTTTCTTTGTCCAAATGTGTTTAAAGTATTCTGCATACAACACACGCACAATTAGTGTTGTTCTTTGTAGTGGCGTCTGAAATTGATGGAGTTGAGAAACGAGATGCAAAACAATGTTTTTGCGAGATAGGACCGTCTGATAGAGGTGCGCTAATTGTTTCAGGAGACAGCGGACGAAGGTCAGGGAGGTGCTGACTTGGATAATGGCAGTGTTGTGGTGACTCTGACAACCTCCAACAGTAACGCGACATCGTTGCAACAACAGAGTCAACAACAGAGCCAGCATCCACAGTTACCATCGATTGTTCATTCGCCACCTTCGACGACGAGTAATGCCAGTCCCATCACTGTTAAAGATCTCATGCTTGGGGTTATTGAAATGCAACTGAAACGTACTCCAAACAGTCCAGCCGACGGCGGTTCGTCAGCACCAAATAGCTCTAGCACTCCAACGATTTCTAGCATTTTGAAGACCGATCATCGTAACGATATAACATATGTCCGTGGTTACAAGTCGTCATCAAACATGGCAAACACCGCGTTGTCTAATAGAGATACAGGTCTTGCAACGCTCTCCGTTGTCTCGGGGCCGCATCATGCTCATCGCTCTGCTCCCAGTCCTCAGCAAATGGGTAGGTTTATTAATAATGTCATTATATTTTCTTATTTAATGTGTCCAGGCAAAATAACGACTGTCACATTTATTCAAAATCCATTCTTTTGCTTTGTAAGCTCCTTACGTTATTCGTTAAAAAGATTAAATGGACTCGTTATATATTTTCTTTCCTTTCAGGTCAAATGCAAGCTACCATTACTCCTTGTCCACCTTCTGTACCAAGTAATCAAGCTTCATCTTCGGATTTGCTGCCTAAAGAAGGTTTGGTTATGCAAGTTATGCAGGTACAACAAGCGCAACAAGCGCTCCGAGAAACGGAAGGAACGTTGGACTTGAGTATTAAAAAGCCAAGAGTACAACAAGATTACAATCACTCGATGCAGCTTCACAAGCCATCGACGGTCACGCTCTATCGATCGGAACCACCGCCGGGCGCGTATTATCACCCGCACGCGCCTCATCCCGAGCAAGGTCGCGGCGCGAAGAGTCCACTGATTTATGCCTCGTCACCGCGACCGCAAGCACCCATTACACCCAAGATGAACAAAGTCAACGTACCACCGCCTCATCCCAAGCTGTCTCCAAAATTGAGCAATATGGGCACACCGAGTGCTCACAAAGGTGGTTCCATCACGCATGGCACGCCTGTACCCTCGGCACGTTACGAAGGCCTGTTGCGACAAATAACGCCGCCCGGTAATCCAACGGTTGGAGGTGCCGCTCCAAATGCTAATGAACGAGGTGGCGGCAGCGCCGTCAACGCCGGCTCCGCTGTTCCAGGGACACCGAAGGATACAGGTGGTTCCATCACTCAAGGTACACCGGTGCTTCCATTCGGGGTAGACAAACGCGGTACAGCCATATACGATTATCATCGCACCATCCGACATTCGCCTGTCACGGGCGGTAGCAACGTTCCACCACCACCGCCGGGACAAGGTCCTACAAGTCAGGCGGCGTCGCCGGCCGTAGTGGTGAGCCATAGCGGCAGCCAGTACAATTCTTATTCCACCTCCGGGCGGCCACCACCTAGTTACTCGATGGAGCAGCAGTTGTCCAGCCGGCAGATTATCATGAACGACTACATTACAAGTCAGCAGATGCATGCGCGTGCTCGTGGCAGTAACGTTGGTGCGCCTGTTCCTCCTGAGCCAACCGGTAAAAGTGAGCCGCCACCGCCACCGTCGTCCAACCTCTATTACACCAGCACACCACCTCCATCACAGACGCATACGCAGCCGCGGCAAGGCGTCATTCAGAGGCACAATACGCAGAAGCAAATGCACTATCCGCCACCGCCGCCTGGCTTGGAAGCGTTCTCCAGTTTAGTGGATGTGGCGGTACAGCAACCCAGTCTTCCGGTGCCACATCCGCACAGCCATCCAGCTGCATCTGGTAGTGGGGGCCACGAGGGACTCGGTAAGACAATGGCGGATCGCTTGTTGGCCGACCGTTACGACAATAACCGAGTGTTTCGCGACCAAGAGATGCGGCTACAGGAACATCATCGTATGGCGGCAATGCAGGAACATAGATTAGCAATTGCGGCTGCAGTGCAGCATCAACGCGACAGAGAACGCGATCGAGAGCGCGATAGAGAGCGCGACAGAGAACGCGAACTCGTTCATATGCGGGAAAAGGAGGAACGTTTGCGCGAAAAGGAATTACATCAACAATTAGAGCACCGTCTTGCGATACAGCAGCAGCATCATCATCAACGTGAAAAGGATCTCCAGCAGCAAGAGCATCGTCTCGCGCAACGAGAGAAAGATATACATGCCGAGAATGTTCGTTTGGCTATACAGCAAGTTCGGGAAAAAGATATCCAACACGAGCATCGGCTTAGTGTACATCAGCAGCAGCGAGAAAAGGAGATACATCAACAAATGGTAGCGGCTGCCGCGCAACGCGAGAAGGAACACGAACATCGACTGGCTGTACAACAGCATCGCGAGAAGGAGCTGCAGCAGCAGGAGCGGCTCATTCAGCAACAGCGGGAGAAGGAACACGCCGAACAGCAAGCGCATCGCCTGCAGCAAGCGCATCTCCAGCAGCAACATCAGCTTCACATTCAGCAGCAACGTATAGAGGTCGAGAGAAGACACATGGCGCAAATATACAGAGAGCAACAACAACATCTCGACAGAGATTCGAGACTATTAAGCAGCGGATTCCCGCAGCCCAGGTTGCAGCTATCTCAACAGTCTCAACAGCAGCAGCAGCAACAGCAGCAGCAGCAGCAACAACAACAGCAGCAGCAGCAGCAGCAGCAGCAGCAGTCGTCGTCGACATCGGGACGACAGAATCAATCCAATCAGTCGAGCGAGCCCACTCTCACAGCAGCCAGTCTAATTGATGCTATCATCACGCATCAGATCAATCAGAGTTCTGAGAATTCAGGAAGCGGATCCTCGGCCAATCAACCAACACGTGCTGGCGATCGTCTCTTTCAGGTAGCCGAATATATCTTTATTTTCTTCTCCAGTTCGTTGTACGTTTTTAAAGTAAGGTTTTTTTGACATTGCGTATCGCAACTTATTCTTTTTCGTACATTGAATCCGTCTTTTCAGGGATTTCATCGCGAAGCTCAGCAAGAACCTAATGGCATAGCGCATAGTCCCGCCGGCGAGAACAGCGGCGGTGGAAGTGGTGGTGGCGGCAACGGAAGTGGCAGCAACAAGGCAATCACTCTCGGCGAGCATGTTGAGCATGTTGTCTCTAAAGATTATGGCCCGCCTCATTCCTCATACAGATCTTATGGGTAAGTTTCCGCGCAAAGCAAAAGTCTCGTTGCTTTAACTCGATGTTGCAGCTCGCAGCGAAAAAGTTCGTTTTAGTAAAACTACATTGCAAATCCATGTCGTAAATAATGGGAACTTTTTATTTTCCAAACCATAGATATCAAATTTCTGATGATCAATGGAAGAGAAGAAAACTTAGTGACCCGGATTCGGTGAAGACCGGAGATGAGCGTCAAATAATACGCGTCGCGCAACAGCAGCAGCAGCCGCAGCAGCAACAACAGCAGCATCAGTCATCGGGAAAACAGCAATATCATTCGGTCGAGCCGGTTTCACCGCCAGAGGCAACTACCAATCATTACGGACGTCGCTTCTACGAATCGAGCACTGCCACATCTACTTCCGGAACTCCCTCCAACAAGCCGCATCAGATATCGCCGTTCGATTACGTGAAGAACAAAATCGTCGAGGTGATGCGCACCGAGGACGATAAGGCCGGCGGTGGCACTGGCGGCGGCGATGGTGGTGCGAGCCTCGACAGAAATGGAGGTGGCAATTCCGTCGTGATAACCGAGAAGGATGAAAAGGGGGCTGGTGCGGGAGGCATGGAAAGAAGTCCATCGAGTGGTGGCGGCGGAAGCGGCGGCGGTGGCGGCGGCAGTAGCGGAAGTAACGAGATGGTCGACGATGCGGGTGGGCCGAATCCAACCACACGTGAACCACCGCCGCCACCCACGCCTGCGGCTGCAACCACGTTCTATCCATATAATGCGCTGACCGTAGGGGTACCCACGGCACCACCGTCGGCTCCGCCATCGAGCACAGCTGCACCCGCCTCTGTGACGAAATCGGAGCAGATGCAGGCCGAGCCGGCGCCGTTGCTCTCCTCTCAGTACGAGCCGCTCTCGGATGAGGATTGATAGTCCTCTGTAACCGCTCAGCGTTGTAAATGTTCTTATACTAAACTGGCATACGCTAGTACGACGATACACGACTATTACGGATGCCGAGAGATGTTGTGGCATACGTCTTTTTAGGATACTCGCAGATGATCACCGAATGGAATCATGATTGATTATATTGGACGATTTATCGACGCTTTACGGGCAATCAGAAGCCACACTGCGTTCTTGTCGGTCGCCAAATCCTAATCTAATTTAAGAGACTTCTTCTTTTTATATATACGCATATATGTATATGCATATGTAGATATATATATATATAAATATGAGAATTTGCGATCTCCGGCGTGATAAGTGCAGAGAAGTATGATGTTTTAAACAAAGCCCCCCTCCACACATATTGTTGTTTTACAAACTCTTTGTAACTTGATTGTATTTTTAGTCAAAGATCATTCCCGTACTATGCAAAGAGAGGTAAACACACATTTACGAAACAAATCATTTTATTTACCTTCTCGCGGTGTTGCGCTGGCTTTCAGTTAAATACATAGCGACGAATAGTTTTATCTAATACTTAGTTATTTGCGATGTATAATTTATATAATGTCGATATATGGACAAAAAGTATAGTCTGTATAAATATATGTATATGTACGTGAAAGAAACCTATGACATTTGACCGCCATGATTTTTTGATGGACTCCTTTTTTTAAAATCTCGCGAGTTAATTGTACAGGTTCGTATTTTAGTTTAGCAAAATTTTATGAATGCAATAGTTTCAAAACAAAATCGTTACATAATTGTTAAATAGTATTTACTCGCCTATACATATATTTTTCACTTTTTAGGTTTTTCGATACTCGCAGATGTATATGCGTACGTCAGTCCCGGTTTATTTCGCAAAACCGGGATTGATATTCGATATATATCTATTCTATTTCGTATGTACTAATGTACCAAGTGCGCGAAGCTTTAGTCGATTGAGGTGAATTATTATTTTTTACGTTGACTTGGGCTCGATCAGTCCGCAAAAAGACGTCGGTATACGCGCAAACATTCGATCTGTGAAACATCTAGGTCTATGTATGTATATCCCATGTTCACAATACAGACGCTTCTTTTGTACATAAATGAAAAAAATATATGTAATCGTTAAGCGGTAATAATATACAACGCTAATGAGGGCGTGTGTGTTTTTATTTGGAATGAGTCTGTGATGTATCTGGGATTAATAGATTCAACTGTGTTACATACCAGTGCAAAGCATAGCTTGTAATTTGAACTGAGAATGAGAGAGAGAGAGAGAGAGAGAGAGCAGAAAAGATGAAAGGCACGAGATACGTCAAGGAAAATACCGTACAACGTATTCTGGCACACGTGGGTAAATACGAGATGGCTAATCGAGAATATTCTAGCAACGAGAATCAACTTTTGACGGTCGTCCTCATCTTGATGAGGTGGGTTTGAAAAACGAGATAAAAGAAATTGTAACACAAAGTGTATTGTACATAGTATGTAGTATATATTAATTTTTAAGTTGATCAAGTAATATGGCTAGATAATCCGTACATACTATTGTATAAGGAGTTTAGGTTTAGCGATAAAGTCGACGTAGCCAGCATTTAGGAGTTTAAAACAGCCACGAACTGATTTTAGGGGAAAGAGATTTTCTCCGGGAACTCTACTTATTAATAAATGACGGCAAAACAAATGGGCGGGCGATTAAATTGATGGGGTTATCATTCGCGAAGCGAAATTGGATGTAAATTAATTTTATCTGTTTCAAACAAAGAGAGAAGGCGAGAGAATGTGTATGCTCTGACTATCACGTACACGACGCACAGCACACGCGACACATACATGTATACATGCATACTTTTTATACAGCCTAATTTTGTATTTGTAGCTTCAACTATTTTGCGATCTGCGCCTTGTTTCTTCGCCATCATCGTGACATCCGACAAACATCGTTGCAAGAGTTACTTCTTTCAATCGTTGCGCCGTGAGTCACCTGCTTCTGCCGGATTGCGCCTCGATTATATATATATATATATTCCATGTCGTTTTGGACGACTGAGATATCAAGACTACAGAGATTCGCTGTACAAAGACGACTGCCTCCGTTCGCACGCCAGCGATTAGACGATTAGCCCTCGTTCATTTGTATTTTCGCTTCTTCTTTGCATCCTCGGTATCGGCGAGTGTATCCTCGGTCCAGGTATTATTCTCTCTTTAACTTCTTATTTCTATTCGTTCTCATATCACCTTCCATAGCAAGCGTCTGGACAAGGGCAGTTTGCGATGTTCCACTCGTCGATTTCTTTTATTCTTTATAATAAATTTAGTCTTCACAATTAATCGATGTGTTTGTATAAAAGAAGACCGACTAGGGCAATGTGAGCCAGCACCAGATTTTCGGTAAATGTCATATATTAATTTTATGATTTATCTTTTATTCTTTACACGGAGCAACTGATCTATGCAGTAATTGTACAAGTGAGAAAGTACGCTTAAAAGAAAATCTTTTAGAAAATGGTATTCAAAATGCACTGATAATTTATTCTAATTACATAACGTAATCATGACTGCTACATAACATTAATAAGATATGTCATCTCTTTCTTCATTTTTGCGTTGTTTAAAACATGCAGAGACTATTATTACTTTTACGGTTTAAAAAGAACAACTTACCGAGGACTTAACTGTGATGTCTGCACTCGTTTTAATTGTATACTGAGCATTTAAATGTTACATCGAAATTTTGCAATCGATTTTTGAAATACATTCTATAGTTTGACCGTTGAGTTTAAGTAACGAGAATCGATGAGCTTCGTGGAACGCTGCACCCTGTCACAGAGGCGCGCGCCTCCAAGGATTCATTGTACAAAATATAATTGTTGAGGTCCTGAAAAAAAACCGTCGAATGCTTCCAGAGTATAAGTGAAGATGGATGTGTATATCGTATAGATAAGATGTAAAACACACGACAGACACGCATACACACACTCACAGACATACATACCGAAGCGAATTAATCTAGTTAGCCCGAGGCATGTATAACTATTTGCGAACAACAGCGTGCGACAGCCGTGCGACTCAATCTTCGTACTTGGAAGAGTGTCCTCGGCGTCACGCTTCTCCTTCTCGTATAGTACCTGAGCGACACACAGAGCCCCGTGTTTAGCGATCGCCCCCCTTCATCGTCGTCGATGAAGCGCGAAGAGTGGTGCGTGGTCCAAGATCGGCACGAAGAAGCAAGCAGACGTTTTGTCATACCATCTTAAGGGATCCTTAGAAAATAGAATGCCGCAAGTGCTCGGTGTATAAAATATGCTTTAAATTCGAACGTCTATCATCACATTTTTCTCACGTGTCTCCGTTACATCGTTCATGTAATCTGTTACATCTCGTTGGTCATAAATTGGTACAGATACTCGTCGCGTGCACCGGGGAGAGACGCACCACTCTGGATGAGATTAATCGCGCGATCGAGGTATGCTTTCATCTCAGGAGCAACTTTGAGCACACGCGTATGTGAGGGACGGGTCTGCTGCGTGTATAAAGCGTAAAATGTACACACATGACAAACACACGAAACCATGTATACATACACGGACAGGATAGTTGTGAATTTAAACCCCCGGCTCTGTTGGAGAGAGGAACGTTGGCGTGTGTACATATGATGCGTGACACGTAGCGAATGTACACCAACTCCTTTCTGTTGTGGTACATATTTAGAGAGATCTTCAGGGTGTCGGGTCTTTCGTACGGGTCGATTATTCGCAGGCGATTTTCGCGTTTCTCAACCGTCATCCCCTCGGCGAGAGGGAACATTCGATTAATTCGGTGTGTAACGGTGATCTAATCTCTTTCTTCTTTTCAAGCGCTTGAAGAAACTGCATAGTAAGAAATTAATCATCTCTTATCTCGTGGAAAGATTATTACGTATTACTAAAACCATTGGAATTGTTTCTTCTTTATTATTATATATATACATTACTGTGTATATACATATTGTGTATAAGAACATTTCCTAATGTATGTATAACACAAGTATTATACATATAATTGCAATCATTGATAAAGACATTTTATCGTAATTAATGAACCAAAGTTTAGAGAACGAACTCGGCTCAACTTCCTTCGACAAGTGTTTGAAAAAAGAAAAATGATTTAGATGCTCGTTGCCGTGAAGTGTCTTCAATTGTATTCGATTCTTCGAGGGAAATCGTCTGTGCGTAAGCAATCTCAGGTACGATGCAGTACTGTAATACAATAGATGTAAGAAGCGCAGAGAGAGAGAGAGAGAGAGTGAGAGTGAGAGTGGAACACCGACGGCATCTTTTCCTTGAGAACGAAAGAGAGAAAGAGACGCGTTTTTCGCAGGAAAGAAAAGGCGAAGCGAATTTCATCGCCGCAGCTACCGAGTATCATCTAGATTAGAGATTTAGGCGACGTGGAGCATAAACGTCGCGTGTATATGTACCTAGACTCATTTGTAACACGTCGAGGAAAGATGATCGACTAATTTGTTCGGTGTGTCTGTCGCTCGATCCCTACGACGTACGCGGAAAGACGACAAGCCTGTACATAGTGATATGATAACGCCGAGGTACACACAGCTCCCTCCCGATTGTTGTATCATAATAATATAATAATATTAATATTAACAAAAAATAATAATAAACGCATACGGCGCGATCGCAGAATTGTCAAGCTAGGATAAAAAAGTAAAGAAGAAAAGAAAAAGAAAAGAAGAATGGGAGAAAGACGACGAGAAAAGAAGCGAGAGACTCTATCTACGAAACGTGATTATTATCTACGAAAACACGCTCTGTTAATGCGACTAATTACAAAACAAAGTAACTGAAAATTAATTATAGCGAGCGAGAGCATACCACGCCTACAGTAAAACTACAGATGTAGCATACACGATATTATTATCAAAACAGTTCAATGTAAATTGTTATTTTTGTTGAAATAAAAATCACCTCCGTTATAATAAGGAGCATCTCCTCGCTTTCGCCTTTTGATTTCGCTCCGCATCGCGTTCTCGAACGAGAGCTGCTGTTTTTGATTAAAAAGAAATACAAAATACGCAAGAAACAAATTCAAACGAAAAACTAACGTTATTCTTTTCCGTCAATTGTGATTATGCGAGTTTAGTTGAAGATATTCATTACAGAAAAATTCAATTAAATAAGTCGCTTTATCCTAGGACGTAATATAGGTGTACGCTCGCTAGACAATAATTATCGGATTGATTTCTTTTTCGATCGCTTTATTTTGTTTTATATAAAGCGTATACAAAATATACATACATTACGGACATTCTCGTCGCTCCGTTGAACAATAACAAACGTTTCGTTTAAATCGGTTATAAAATACTATATACGATAAATCTATATTTAACGTGCATAAAAATGAGGCACGCTCTTCTCTTCGCGATTAAAGGTCATACCCAGTACTCTTACACATAAAAATATTGTACAATAAGGAGTACGTCCAAGGCACTTATACAATACATACGTATTGCATCAATAGATGAGAAGCGGAGATAAAATTTTCGGTATTATCGTTGTTGAAGGCTACTTCCATTTTACAGAACCAATTTGTTTGTGGGAATTCTGTCATCGACTTTGTTATCGAGTATAATAAATAATATCCGGGACACTTGGGAAAAGCGGGTACAATTACAAAAATCAGGTAAGTTAAATCGGAACATTTGCTTATCTTCCGATTATCTTAACAATACTAGTTCAAGAGGGTGTTCGTGACGTTCTTTTATTTTCTTGCTTTGGACTTTAGATCGCCTGAAGTATCGATATATAATTAAGAATCATCTTGTATAATAGTTACTAATGTAAACTATGTAAATATGCAAATGTGAACATTCATAATATTATTAAAAATTATTTAATTACAATTCATATCTCTTTATTTTTAAGCATTCTAAACTTATAATAGCAGCCTTACATTTCACTTTACGAATAATAAAAACAGTTCTTTCCAAACAAAAGATACAGACGGCTGCCCTGTCTTGATCAAGTAAAATAAAAAAATCTTAAAACATTTCTAAAGTTATTCTTGTAGATATTACTATTTAAATTAGAGCTACTATAGTCGATAGTGGCACTGCAATGCCTATTGCATCCAACGAAAGATTAATACTTTATAGTTAACATCTTCCAGAACAACTTATTCACAGATATATCCTTTGTTCAAATACATATGTTAGAGCAATATTTTGTTATCAGTATTTATATTGTGAACACATATTACAAAGCTGACTCTGTTTTTTTTCCTTTCACGTTACGTATTCGCGATAGTAATCGTTTAATATATTAATATATCCGTGCAAGTCAGGTACATGAAATAAACCATATGCTCAGTATATTATTCATGAATTTAAGATAAAATAAATAATTTTTCCAAAAACTCATGTACTATTTTATATCTGTGAGTATAACAACGTTAAGTCTACAATAAAATATACAATTGACAATACAACTGCCAATTTATATTATACATTATAGCTATTGCAATGAAAGAGGAAATTGCTTAGTTTGTTGAACGCAATTTTGTATCGTATTCACATCTCTGAATTGTGGAACACATACAGTTATATACATTATTTCGTTTAATAAGCGTCTGAGAGGACAATCTTCTCTTGTCTCGTCTTACTTTAATCATAAGGCATCTCTACATTTGATGAAAAAACACATATATTTTATTAGCAACTCGGCACGTTGCAGTTGTTTTAATTTTAGATTCCGTGTGTTATTATTGAAGATGAAGCGTATTTGTATAATGCGTAAAGTATTAATGAAAATATTAATTGACCTTTTATGTGCGCAATGGATTGTACATACTGGATGGAGGTAGTTTTTCTGTGCCTTCTCAAATAATGAGATAATAGATCTAAAATAGAACTATTAATATTCCGCGCAGCAGAGCTTCGATGTCGTCATTCAATTTGTCAAGTTTGCAAATAATTGCATACACTTAATACATGTAGCAAAAGTATCACAGAGTCTGTTGTTCTACCATTTGCTCTCGAAAACGTGTACTTAAAAAATACTGCGTTTAAAGTTATTTAATATATTCTTCTTACAAATCCTAGTTCTATCTCTCCGCGATAAAGCTTATACGAAAATATAAGCTACTTTGTTCGATTCTAACAATCTTGTTTTATATTAATATAACCAATTTATATTAATATAAAATAATGAACGGGTATACCTTACGTCATCTAACATATAAAAAATATATAGCAAATTTATACAAATACCTACAATTTTAAGGCAAGTTATCTCTTTTTCAGTAATAATACACCTGTCTCTATCAACGCGTCTGTGTGTCGTTAAATAACTCGAATGAGATAAATTTCATCGGTTCAAATATCATCATTCGTAATACGAGGGATACAATATATTCCACAAAATAGCTGCGGTCATAAGACTCGTGTAAGTAACCATGCTGGCCCACCAAATAACTTTCTCCCAAGTTTGTACCTCGAGATTTCGAAGAATATTTATGCCCACTAGCAGGCCTGCTATAGCGCCAGCCAAGTGGGCCACGTAGCCGATCTGGTCGTTGGTATCGAGCACGTAACGATTGTACACTGCTTGCCCAACGTCGACGCTCGTGATAACGAGAAACACTAACAGCTGCAGCACGGCAAATTCCATTTGCGACCAGTTCATTATGATGGTGGCTACATGTGCAGTAATTAACGCATACACGCCACCCGATGCGCCGGCTAGGTAAACCGTAGGGTCTGAAACGGACGTGCCGAGGGAACCGGCCAGTACTCCGGCTATGTATATTATCAATACTCTCCACCATTTGTGAACCATCTCCAGTGGAATGCCCAGCATAATTTGTACCAGGAGATTAACGACCAAATGGAAAACCCTGTCGAATACAAAAGAAATTCAAGGGATTAAAATACACATTCTCGATTCGCAATATATATCTTACGGAAGTACACGAGTTGTACAACAGACTCGTTATACGTACCCGACGTGTACAAACATGTATGTTAGATACCGCCAGGCTTGGTACCTCTTGTGCGGATTATAAATAAATAATGTAGCCGCTGGGCCTTCTACAGAAAGAGATTTGTGCTTAATCACATCATACATGAACAAAATGATTTCTATTATCGATATGATTATCATTGCTACAGCCGGCGGTCGACAACTGTACTCTTCTTCGTACAGTCCATCTGGATAGTCGCTAGAGTACAGAGAAGATTCCGTTATTGTACTGGTTTGTTGCTGTAGAGCGTTAAAACGTGCAGAACGGCATCTTTTACTAATCATAGCGGCCTGGGGAGAGTCACCAAAGCTCGAAGGAGGAGGAGAAGGTGGTGCATGCATTCGAATACTGATTTGTCGTTGGGGATAATACCTCGAGCCCATGGAAGTTTGCCTTATCGCGCGGGTTGGTCGCTGAGGTATTACAGAGTGCACGTATCGTTGCACGATATGTCCGAATATACCCTGCATGTCCTTTCTATGGATCTGAAAGTAAGAAACAGATCGACGTCAACTATCGACAATTGGGAATCCCCGAAATATTTCACCGACGAAACACCGAAGAAACAAGTATAATTTCTATATGTAAAACAAAAATGGCAAAATCCCTTAACTAACCATTGCTATAAATTCTGGATATTCTAGGTAACCAGATTCATCCAGATCTGCCTTGTGCATTATCGTGCGGACCACCCCGACAGGGATGTCCTTGGAAAAATCTGGCCCGCGTATCATTGCTTTCAGTTCTTGCAGTGATATTTTTCCATCTCCGTCGAGATCGTACTTCTCAAAAATGGCTTTCCAATGCTGCGAAATAAAGGATAATTCAATATAACGTCGTTTTGGCACAAGTGCGAAATAGTCTAGCAAGTATTGTATGTATTTTCAGGACGATTTCTCAGGCCGTGACGCTGCCATATGTTGCCAGCAATAATGTATCGCGTGCAGTTTCCTGAATGCATATACCTTTCCTTACAAATGAATCAGACACTTTAACTTATCAATGCACGTATGAGTCATTTGTGAGGGAAACTAGGCTTGCTCTCCAACGAAAATGAGCAATCACGGAAAAGCTTCAATAGCTAATGGACATATTTTATCAAAAGAAATAGTTGACGCGCGATTGTTTAGCGATAACAAATATTCAAAGTCACGGCCGACGTATCCTACGAGCAAAAGTAGGATGTACAATCGTTATTTTAACATATTATTTCCAGTTGCGCCATTTTATACAGTTTGACAATAATATGCAATTGAAGCGAGGTGTGAATCTTGCATGTTTTTAAACAAGTCCTTCTATCTCTTGAAAAAAAAAAGCAAAGCATGAAAGCACTAAGAAAATAATGCCTCTGTACCATCGATTTCCGATAGCACAAACATGATATAGCACTTACAGCTTCATTGTACTGCAGTGGGATGGTCACCGCAGTCTCGCCCTCTCGACTAGTCGACATCCTTATCAATTTGAAACCTCTGCAAAGTAAACATGAGAGATAGGCGTCAGTACGCGACATTGTACGAGCTTGGTAAGCCTCACTTGCAGATCTTAAAGCTAAGGGATGGCACGGCAGATCTCTCGCTCATCCGGGCTCTCTGTCGGGCGTTGACTTACTAACGGTACGAGACCCGCGTAGGCGAGATCTCGGGAGAGCCGGAGCCCCTGTTGGAGGCTGGTCGGCCACCCGGAGGGCCGTGTCTCGCGAGGAGCGAGCGTGGGGCGCAGGGAACGCGGTTTACCTGTGACAAGCCGGAAACGGAGGCGCGTTCGACGTGCACGGGGCAGCTTCGCGCGAGGCAAGGGCGAGGACGACCCGGGGTCACTCTGGTGAATGAGACGGACGGGACGCGAGTACGTTTCACCCGCACGCACCTGCGCCGCCCGTGGCATTATTTCTCGCGTATCGAGCGGTCACTCGGGGGGCCCCGATAACACACCGCGCGGTGACACATCTTCCCTTATCTCGCGCAGATACGCCGGCGTTGAGCAGTCAATAGGGACGCGCCGCGTCCCGCCGGTGACGTCACGGACGTCGCGGAGACCATGCCGCCGTTCCACCTGTTGGCCGCGGGCCGCGTCCACCACGGCGCGCGGGCGCTATCGCCGAATTCTACGTACGCATATGTACGCAACGTGCGCGCCCAGCATACATACCCTAACCTTCGAGATTCGGAGCAGGCTGCGAATGGCCGGGGCCGAGCGACGCGACGCGGCGCGTGTGTCCCTGGGAAACCTTGAGGGGGAGACGCGCCACTGACCTTTACCGCCTCGCTATTCCTCTCTCTCTCTCCCTCCCCCCGGGATCGGGCTTTCCACGCTGAGGCAGGTGTCGGAGAGCGAGCGAGTGAGCGAGCGGGAGCTAACGGTACCCGTTTCGAACGGCCGCGTCTTCCTGCCGAGCCGCGAGGACATTCGGCGAAAAGTGGACGCTCGCTGGCGAAGTCCACCGCCAGGTTAATCGGCCTACTTTTTTCTCTCTCTCGTTTCTTTCGCGGGCTTCCTCTGACCAAGAGCTTTCCTTCTCGGCCGGTACGCGAATGGCTTTCTCCTTCCTTCTTCCTTCGTCTCGATCGTACGGGATGAATGGAGAATAGTCGGGTGGCTTCTTTTTTTCGACCTGACCGCTCGGCGTTCTTTTCTTATTGTTAGTAATATGTGGGTATGCTGGGCGGGACGCGTGGACAATGCCTCGGATTGGGAAGAGAGAGATAGAGAGAGAGAGAGACAGAGATTTTTGCTTTATTCTGACCGCTTGGCATTTTTTTTCGCAGATACAGGATATACGCTAGACAATTCAAGGTTTCGCGATGCAACGCACGTTCAAGTTGTTACGTCGCCCGCCGGGGAATACGCCTAATCACGAGAAGTCGCGACATCGATCGTTTACCAAGATACTCATCGACATAGCGCATCGCTCTGACTCATTGGAAACTTGCTAATGAAGCTATTAAAAGAAATCTATAGAGAGAGAGAGAGAGAGAGAGAGAGAGAGAGAGAGAGAGAGAGAGAGAGAGAGACTCTCTTAATATAATAAGGAATATGCCTGTCACGATTATGTTCATGTATTGTTCATGTAAATGCGACTCCGAGTATATTTTTCATGTCAACGGTGATATTTTTCCAAGTCAGCTCTAACGAGTATATTTTCTTCTTTCTCGCGCCAAGTATAAGCCGCGCGGCGGCTAGAACCGCTCGAATTTCGCGATGACGATGCCCCACGTGCCGCGCGAGCGATGCCGGCAGAGCCGAGGGCGAGGGTTGCCTGGCGACGTCGCGGATCAACAAACAAGCCCACCCCCGAGAGATCGTCGAGCCAGTTACGCAATTCCGTTTCTCTAACAACAATCGGAATTCGGGGCCTGTCGCGCGGCGATCTGAGAAATGGCGTGCGGCAGGGAGAGAATGAGAATAGCGGCGAGCTACAGAGTGAACGAACCGATACGCAACCTGAAGATAAGGTGTGTCTTCCGTTGATTTCAACTTTTGCGTGACTTAATTCGATTACGTGAGAAAGGTCTCTCTCTCTCTCTCTCTCTCTCTTTCTCTGCGTTAAATTGTGCCTCATGTCCTGTTCTTTCGTAGACGCGACGTGTATTTATAATTACTTGAATTGGATCAGACCAGATCAGACCGAAGCTTCAATTGGAAATCTCTACGGAGTTGGAAATTGAACGCGATAGTAAAGAAAACAAAATCGCAATTGCGTCCGCGGAATTTTCTGCAATATGAATATACACTTCTTACGGCGCTAAATCAGCGGGGGACTTCCGAAGGCTAGGAGGCGGCTGTGATATATTGACTCTCTGTTTATCGGCGTGGATCCATTAGGCCTGCATCCGAGAGTAGGTTTATGTAATCGATTAAAAGAAGAAGCGCTTATCGTTCGGCTATTTAAACGTGATTTTGACACATGGGAGATTACGAGGTGGTTTACATTCCCAGTAAGTTTTTACCAACAAAAAAAAACAGCCGAGTGACACGAGGCTCTTTGCATGCCGGTGGAAAAAAGCCACAATTGTCTTTGCGTTGCGGATGTTGAATTAATTTTCACATTGCAGACATTTCCGCATTCCCGACTCCGTGAAAATTAACCGAAGACGCGAAGGTTGAGAACGAAGAAGAGAGAGAGAGTGAGCGTACTTGTGCAATGCGATAATGTAAACCTACGACGTCGAGACATTATGTAACTAGCCCGTGTGTGTGTACGCCAGACACCTTTTCTTCATGCATCGCCATTGACATTCGCGTCAGTGATTATATCTTTTGTTTCGAGATAATGAGATTTCTGCGTTTTTCCCGAATTAATTCGTTATTTCTCGAAGGAACTTCGTCAAGTTTCGTCGCTATCGTCCTCGTGGCGAACGACGGAAAGTGTTAAACTCGTAGGTTTATATTCAATTATATTATCGAATGTCATTTGCGTGAAAAATGTATCGGAAATGTGAGAAATTGAAAACCGAAGAATATTCTCTTGGGCAATTTAACGAGATACATTCGAGATATTTATATCTCTCCGCCGCGTGTTTATCTTCCTTGCGGCACCGAGAAAATTTTAAAAGTCCTTCACGAGAAGAATTACGTAAAGCCATTTACCGGCTTTCAGCTCAATTCTCTCGTAATTAATTCGCAATCGCCGGCCTGGGCAAAAATAGCGAAGACAAAATAGCGGTTGAATCTCTTTCCCGCGAGGAATGAATCTTGGGCATCTGGCGAGCCCAGCTTTGCCGAATTGCACCAGATTTCATCTCGTTGACGTTCATTTGTTGTTTCAGAGTGCGAGTCACGCAGGAGAGGTCCCCGCTGGCCGAGTTGCTGGCCGAGGAGCCTGAGGGCGGCGAGACCAGAGACTCCAACTTCTTGGAGGAGGAGGACCGTATTTTTAGCTGGCAGGACAAGGTGTTCGGCCCGTTCGAGATCGATTTCTATGCGGACGAGAAGAATTGCCTGACCGATTGCCAGCGGGAGTACCACCGGCGTATACGCGACGAGCAGCTGCAGGGTGCACGTTTGTACTCGTACACGGAAAACGACTCGTACTATGCCGACGACGACCTCCTGACGATGCCTTACAGGCAGGGATCGAATTTAACTGTTAGATACCGCGCGAGTGTTACTCGATTGTGAAGAGTTTCCTGCATAATTTTTTTCTCAAAGTAAAACATTTTTTTTTAATTTTTAAATAAAGTCATTAGTTAAAGGTAGAAATAAGATTGGACATAAATCTAAATTATGATTTCCGCTTATCAGAAACAAAAAGATTCCGCGGGAATTCCCTTTTCATTCAGCTCGAGGAAGGTACGAGAGCAGATTCGTACTTTTCAATGTTGTCGCGTGTCGAGAAACGCTGCAGAACGCGTGGGTTTCGGTTTCTTATCATTCCACGTAGCTTTCGGTAATTCTAAATGCTTTTATTCTCGCTCGCAGATCGTACTTGTCCGCGAAGAACGAGACGGCGTTGCCGGCCGTGCGGAACCGCAAGTCCTTCCGCGAGCGGTACAACAAGAACGTGGTGGACGACAGAGTGACGGATACCAAGATCCGATCGAGCCATTATCTCTACACCGAGCGCACCAGCATGCACGTGATGGCCGATCTTTCGCGCAAGGACGAGCCCGGGGGCGTCGGGTCGACGGACTCGGAGACGCTGCTCTGCACGGTGACATATGACAAGGCGCGCAAACTGCTGACCGTCAGCCCCGATTTCACGATCGACGACGAGCGGCGTTACGGCGTCGCCAACGGTTACGGCGTCAGGTTTAATTATCGAGTCGAGCACGTTTCCGAGGGGCGAACGCCGCTGGAATTGCAGGAGCATCGCGAAGACGCGCGGCGTGTAAGTATGCGGCTATTTACGACGGACGGTACACGATCGGCATACCAAACTTTCGCGTCATCGCGCCAGCGCGCGCGCGCACGCCGATCAAAAGGACGGTCTTTTCGTGGAAAGACCAATCTCGGCATTCCCGAGCGACGTCCGTTTATTTGCCCCCGCAACGCAGTTACAGTAATACCCGATAATTCTTTCCGCTCTGACTCATTTCTCTCTCTCTCCCACTTCCTCCGCGCGTCCTCTCTTTCTCCTTCTCCCAGACGTCTGTGTAACACGGGGCTATTTATAACTTATTAGCGAATAATTATTTAGTTAATAATTCATATTACAATATGCTTGTACTTGAACTTATTGCCCTTGGAGCGAAATCTGTTTAATGGAAAATTGATTGTTAGATTGTGTAATCGTTGCGAAAAAAGATTCGTGATTGAATTTGAAAACCTACTATCTCATATTAGAATTGAGGACTTTCCTTTATATTATTTGAGTAGCGAAGCGAGAGAGAGAGAGAGAGAAAATTAGAAGCGCGTTGCTTTTTTATATTATAATATAATCTTGCATAAATTAAGTTTGTCAAATTATTAAATTTCGCTTATTCAGTATTAGACGATGGTTTCAAGTTACACAGTAACATACAGTTGTGTTAATAGTCGAGGAGAATGAGAGATACATTACTTCGAGAATGATGTTGCTCAACAAACCTCCATATCGGTTTTAGTTGTATGTAGCATGATGCTAGTCATCATTACTTTGCGAAAAGCGAACTATAATAAGAGACAATGTGTGGCGCAAATAATTACGGTTTCTCGCAACAATGACGCTATCGGGAACCATTTTGTCCTTAGAAATCTTGGAGAGAAATACATTTTATTATATTTTAAATCCGACCTTGATACGACAAGTAAGAAAATTGTACGCTAGCAAGAGTCGTCGGATTATCGCGCTAGTACATGACACAACGTTCAATTGAAAAAAAATTTATTGCAGTTGCAATAGATCAGTCGCGTAATATCGAACAAAGACAATAATTTATGTCCGTACTGTACACGTAAGTTTATTTCGCTTCGAAAATACCAACAGTTGCCTTTGTTTTTCGTAGAAGCGGTTTTCAATTATGCGGTAACGTCCGGTCAAGTGCGGGCAAACGTGACGCGGCACGTGGAGAGCCGGGCGACATATCAAATGTTTATCAAGTTGGATGAGCGCGATGAAGCAACTTGATGTGCGCTTTTTATCCGTTCGCTCCCAAGTTCGATTACCGCCTGCAGGCGGAAGAGGCACGGCGAATCCGTCGCGATACGGCGATCAGGAGTTCAGTTCGCTATCCGATATCAGGAGAGGAAAAAGTTAGCTTGCGCGAGCGCGCCCTCGAAAACCCTTGCCGGTCGCCTCGTAAGGGCGGTAAAAGAAAAGAAAAACGAAAGTAAGAAGACGAAAAATGTGTACGTACCCCACGTAGGAAATTTCCGAGATCTGACGCATTGCTCGCTGGTGATAGAACATGATCGCCGTGTCGTGTGTGCACTGTAACAATCCCTGATGCTCTCGGTGCGAATCACGGCATCTTCACGGAAAATCCGTCAGTTCACCAATGTTCTTTCCCTCTTCCGGTCGTCAAAGACACACCCAACGGTCTTGCGGCCTATCGATCTCCTCGTCGTACTCTCGGGCATGATGGAACAGCCGGCGAGACTGAACTCTTGCTAATCGGCATGTATACTAATGATAATCACGGTAGGGGCGCGTATGCCTGTGTCTCTTTGTGAACGCGTGCCCGTTGAGCTCGTAGTTGATCACCGCACTTGCTACGATCGACTGAATCCTATGGTTCCTCCGACTGTCCTCTTGAACGCTCTCCTCCATGAGGCTGCTGTACGTAGCAGCGATATCAGCCTATACGTGTGTATATACAGTTTGTACGTGCACAGTGGGGCAGGAATATATCCGCGAGCATAGAAACGGCTTTCGCACACCGTCCCACGGCAGTAGTAGCCTACGCTTTATCACTGCACTTCGCTGCAAAGCGGCGGAGATTAGTGAATTTTATCTCGCGCGCCATTAGAGATATAGTTACGATATTCACGGATGTGACTATCTTTTTGCTCTGTAATTTAAGAAAGCCGATTCATCGAATATTTGCTCACGTGACAATCTTTTGTTATTAAAAATAATCTCTCTGTCTCTGTCTCCGTCTCTCATTATAAATAGAAATTGATACAATTGAGAAGTTAATATACAGATTTCGTCTACTAAATTTGTATTTTTTTTAAATAATCACATGAGTAAAGAAATATACAAGTTGGATCTATTTTGTAATATGAACTTCAACGATTCCTAACTGAATTAATTAACTGTTAACTAATAAAACATTAATTAGTGATTAATTAAATATCGACACTAATATATTTTCCTCGTTGCAGGAGGTACAGCAGCAGTTTGCTTACAAGGAAATAGAGTTATACAAGGAGTTAGAATTGCCACCTGCAAATTTATCCACGCTATTCATAAGCTTGGACATTGCGTCGGCTCATGGCTTCTCTTATGACGGATTGTTCGTTACCTATTTCGTCGATTTGCCGCAGCGTTGGAGCACGAAACAGAAAGAGAGATTGTTCGGCAGAACTCAGAAGTGCCGTTTAGAAAATAGAACAGCGCATTTTAGTTATTGTACGGATATATCCTTGCAGTATCCATCGAACGAATTTCAACGATCAAGCGGCGATGCACCATCATTCTGGCCTCGTCTATTATTCTCCGCAGCATCTTTGGACAGTTGGACCAGGTAATATATACACCAAACAATCGCCAAAAATCGCCTTACATTCCACTTAATATTTTTTTACTTGCTCAGCAATATTGTGATCTAAACTATTAATCTGTTTTAGGTATCGAATAGAGGGTTACGCGGCATTGCCAGTACCGATGACACCTGGTAGATACGAATTAACAGTTTCCACGTGGCGTGCGAAAGGAACATTTATCGACACGTTGAGACGATTTTTTGTCGGTGGCTCTTACGAGCTCGAGGATATAACATATTGCGGCATTCCAATGAGCCACGAGGGCAAAGTTTTAGACAAGTCAAACTTGAAAGTCGTACCGAGCGGAGATATTAAAATTTATATAAATGTAATATGTCAGAGTAGTAGCCACGCGAAGCGTGTCAATTATCAAAGAGACGACTCGGATAAAGTGAGCACCGACACGCTCGTGAATAACGTTGAAAATGTTCTTGAACAATTTAAAGCGGCCAAAGAACGCATGATACGAATAAGAGCGATGAATTCGTAGAGTTACATTATCCTAATAATTAAAAGACTGATCGATGAAAGCAGTGCTTGTCAAGATTGAATTTTATACAAACATATGATCAGGGTTGGAAAGTAACTCGTTACTTGTAACGAAGTTACAGTTACAGTTACTTTCTCTCCATCTGTAACTGTAGCTTAACTCAGTTACATTTTTTCGGTAACTAGTAACTAATTTAATAGTTACTTTATATATTTATATAGTTACATTAATATTTATATAGTTTAATTTTATATTGTTAATTTATATAGTTACTTTGTATATTTTTTAAACCTCTACAGATTGCATTAGGTCTTGTCTTTGCACATAAACGCTTTTATCGATACTTAATAATTTAAACGCAGATTTGACATTTTTATTTTCTTTGCAAGAAAGTAACTGCAAAGTAACGATTCGTTACTTTTTGAGTAACTATAACTGTAACGCGTTACTTTTCAGAATTTGGGTAACTTGTAACTGTAACCAGTTACATTTTTAGCGAAAAAACTGTAACTGTAACTAGATACTTTTGTAAAGTAACTTTTCAACTCTGCATATGATACATTTAAGGTAGTACGTATGTTATAATGTAAATCAAAGTACAAAGTAATTACATGAGACGCAACAGACATGAGAAATAATTTTACATTTTGTATCCGCTGTGTATAATTATTGCGAATAATGTTCAATTTTTTTTTACGTAGTTGATAGAGATTTCGTGAATGAAACATTTTTTACCGTGTCTCTTTTGGACAAATGAGAAACCCTCTAATTCGCAGCTATTCCAAAAGAGGTCTCGCTTTAGCGAGTGGCGTTCCAAAACTCGTCAAAGAAGGGTTCTTACCGCAACCACAGTATAACCAGTAGGGGCACTCGTTCTTTTGTTTCACGTTCGCGCCGATCCGTACTGCGCATCCGACATGTTTTTATAATGACCAATCACATTATAAAAACATGTCGAATGCGCAATACAGATCGGCGCGAACGTGAAACAAAAGAACGAGTGCCCCTACTGGTTACACTGTGGTTATAGAAATGTTTCAGACAACAGTTGTTCATATTGATTAGTAGAATAATATGGTATAATAAACAGTATGCTGTTCCATTAAAAAATTGAAGGTGACCTTCACGTGACCTTCAAATGACTATACAAGGTCAAGTCAATGGTACCACCTTATATCCCCCTTCGAACCAAACAACTTTTGTTTGAAACATTTTTCCGTATCTTTCATATTTTTAGAGACAATTGCGTGGATCGTTTAAAATGAGACACCATGTATAATAAAATTCTAAGAATTTTCCACCATTTCCGAGAAGTGGAATTCCGAGAAAATCAAGCTTTAAATCGCGAAAAACGAAAATCTTGGAAACTGACAAAGTATCAGGAGAACATGACAGTCAAAGAGGTGGCACTATCTAAATTTCCAAGAATTGAAATTCCAAGAATTGCAAACTTCAAATCGCAAAAATCGAGAATCTCGAAAACTGAGAAAGTATCAGGAGAACATGATCAGCAAGGAGGTGGCACTATCT